GATACGGGAAAGGGTTCATTTGCACTTGCTAAAATCCTAAATATATGGGGATCATGGCACAAAAAGCTGGTGTGACTGGAGCACAAGTGTTAAGGGGATAAAGTGACAAATGAGGCTAAGGGACCCGAGCCAGACTGGGGATAGGGGGGTTTGAATGCTCAGCCAGTGGGTTTGGATTTTTCTCCTCAAAGAGAAAATAGGAAGCAAAGGAGTGGTGTGATATGGTGTGAAGTCAGTAAGGAGAGAGGGGTGCTGGAGAGAGACCAATCTGAAGATGGAGAAGCTCTGGAGACAGTGGGGGCTTACGGTGGGGGGGGTAGACATCCCTGGGGTGAAGATTAGAGCTTTCCAGGGCCATGACTTTGAATATGGGGCTCCTGGAGGGGAGGGGCAATCCTGGGATTGCTCTTTGAAGTGGCAAGTGGAATCTGGAAGAAAGTGGGAGGATCTATACTCACCAAGGAGTATGGTGTCAATCTGGGAAAGGAGTCCCAGGGGTAGCAGAGCAAGCAAGTCTCCCATAATCCCTCTCCACTCCAAAGACCCTCACCCTCAACACCAAAGGTGGACAGGCCAACTTCACAATGATTGGTTTAGACATAAGTCTATAATCCAATCAAGGCCAAGCAGATCACTCCCCAGGAGGGACTCTCTAAATTATTGAAGGACGTTCAGAAAGGTGTGTGTTGCATTCACAGGAAGTACCCTCTGAGAAGACAAGTAGATCTGCAGCTGCTGGTGGCTCTCCCCTCCCACCCCCAAAGGGGGAGGGAACATTCTGAAATAAATATAGAGAATGGCAAAGCTGAGAGACAGCACGTAGTGAACCCCTGGATCTAGCCATGTCTAAAGTTGACATTTCCTCTAAACCACCAGAAAACTAGGTCCCTATGTCTTGTCTGTTCTATCCAACATGTTCTTATCATTTAAACTCCATGAGCCTTAGAGAAAACAGTAAGCCAAAGAGGAGGCTGAAATCACCCCAGGAGGTTGTATAGATCTCCCATAGCAAGGACTAGGCAGTTGCCTTAGCTCTGATCTGAAGAGCCCAGATACCTATGCACCCAAAGTTCCCGCTATCCTCCTTGGTGCTCTCTACATTGCTCTCCAAGCAGTGGCAAGTCAAGATGGAATCACAGATATCTTAGCACTAAGCAAACTGGAGCCTCAAAAGCAGACACCTGCTCATCTCCGTCCTTTGAGGCTGCCTCTGCCTGTCCCTAAGGGCTTGCATCACTGGTCCTGCCCAGCCAGGGCAGGTCTCAGTCTCTACTGGAAGACAGTGGGTAGGGAGAAAGAGGCAGGGCAGAACTTGAGTCTCCACTTTGATCACCCACCAATGAGAAGTGAGGACACCCACAAGGAGCTTCAAGCTGAGGGCAGGCCACTGACCAGTCAGCGGTCACTCAGCCACCATGACTGCTCCTAGCTCCTTCTCCTGACTGAGAAGGTCTCCAGGAATTAGGCAAGCTGAGAAATGTCTTACAGAGCCTGATGCTGGGGGCTCATACCTATAATCCTAGCTGCTTAGGAGGCTGAAATTTGAGGATCAAAGCACACACCAGACACACACACACACACACACACACACACACACCATATCCGTAGAAAACGCTCCTGTAGCAATGTGACATACAAGAATCATTCCTGGAGCATTTTTTCTCTCATTCATTGTGAAAAGACAGATTTGTAACCCTTCCAATAAACACTATGAACAATTTCCAACTAGGAGCTATGAAAGATGCTATACATACACTTATGGGCCTCTCAGGAAATAAGGTACACAATATATCTTATGAGGTGTGCCTTTATTTGGGATATGTGGCTTGTCTATCTGACTCCAGAAGAATTTATATCTTTCTGAAAGGAAAAAAAATGTATCTTAAGTCACTTTGGAGAATAGCACCTCCTATACTTCCAGCTCAAAAGGGATTCTGGGAACCACTTTCCCTGACTAAGCCATGTGTACCCCAACATAGCTAGGGTGATACACAGAACTCACCTGAGATTAGCAGGAAAAGACAGCTTGCAATTGCTGGGGTCCCTCCATTCATTGCAGAGGTGCCCCATCTGAAAGCAAAGCCAGCACATGCGAAGACAGAAGAAAGAAGTAGCAATGATCTTAATGAGCTGGTGGGAACACCTGGATATAGCCATGCCTGAAGACTTAAGCCTCACATGAGCTAATAAGTTTCCCTTTCTGTTCACATTAATTTGCCTTGTGTCTTCTATCACGTGTAACTGAAAGGACGGTGATTAATAGCTATAGTATTAAATTAGATTAGCGTTCCCTAGTACTAAACAGGTTAGGATACTAATGACAGTAATCAAAGTCACTACTGCCCTCCTTAAAAACAGAACAAATACACTCTTAATTCTAAAGGGCTGAGCATGCAGATAAGCATGTATGTCCCAGGACTAGAGAAGGATAACAGGGCCCGAAGGGTCTGTGGCTTTGGGGAGCACCACAGCCCACCTAAGCATTCAAACTCCAGCTGCCTTAAAATTTACAACTGCCTGTCATACCCTGCAGGTTCTGTCCACACACCGTGGCATCACCACACATCTGCCTGAGAGTCTAGTGGCATGTGTTCCACAAAGAATGGGTTCTGTGGTCACATCTGTGTGGCAAGTGCTGGATGACAGAGTTGGCGAGATTTCTTTATTACAGAACTTCTCCAGACTAATAGGCCTCGTCTTTCTAGGATACATCTTTCTAGGATGGATACAACCACAGGCTTTCCCACAATGCTTTGCTCACCAATCCCCACTTGCTCAGAGCAACTTGTGGTACATCTCCTGCAGAATGTTCTTGGAGAAACAGGGCAAGAGAACCTTGCTTCTTGAACGGTGGTTTGAGGACCAAGAACAGGGGCCTAGACATACAAGACCTCAGGATCCCTTCCAGAGGTGCTGAGATTGAATCTTCATCGTTGTTTGAGATCCTGGGGACCTGCATGCACAGCCCAGGCTCCCTCACCTGCTTTGCTGTTTCGAAGTTCACTAGCAAGGAAGAGCCACAAGAGGAAGGGGCTCTGGGTAGCCCTGTGATGAAGGACATGGGCTGCTGGGTGGATTTATGCGTTTATCCACGTGAAGTCCCTTGAGAGGAAGTACACAGGCATAATTTACTCGTTTAATTACAGCTCAGCCTCCTCCACCTCCCCCGGGCTGGGAAGCATTGTGGCAGAACGGACCAGACAGAACCAGACCAAACTCCACCTTCTCAGTCTCTGTGGTCCAGTACAAGTTACTCAAAGGATAAAGGCATTCGTTATTACAAAATCAGAACGGGTACACCCATGTACAGCCTCAAAGAAAAAGGATAAACAAAAAGAAGATGGAATGATGCTGTCCCACTGTCTCAAAGGTCATTACTGATGGCATCCAAGGCCACTAGGCAGGGCAGTGTTGTTTCCAGCCCTGGCCTGCATCTCTACCTGTGTTTGTCCAATGCGTGGGAAATCTCAGCATGCCTGTCCTACTCAGGCCAATTCACATCTGGAGCCTGAGAGGTACCTCTCTCCATCCACACATTTTGCCAGCTGCCAAAGGCTTCGCTCAAGTAGTCCCCTAAGAAAACATTCTCAAAGCTCTGGTTAGATGCCCTTCTGCTTATCCACCCCTGAGTTAGTAGCAGGACCTGACACATTTCTGGTCAGTCCAAAGGTACTGGTTGAACCAATGACCAAATGACCAGATGAATGAGTGGACATAAAGCGACATCATCTTTGTACCCAAGCCTTAGAAGGACATTTGTAGTTTGCATTATGCCCATCTTCCAACTCAATCCAACCAAAGGCGGTGATTTTTCCGAAGCAACAAGTGATATTTCCTGTGTGTCCATAAAAAGAAACACAGTGGTTGTGGGGCTTAGGGTAACTGCCAGCTGTGCAGAAGGCAGAATGAGCTGGGCTGTCCAGGGGAACTGGTTTATTTGGGGGTGGGAGGGGGCTGGGGAAGTGGCCACTGGCCAGGAGCAGGAGTGCCCTGAGCAGCAATTAGAGCAGAACCCACAGTGGGCGGCTTTTAGGCCAGCATAGCCGGCCTGACCACCACACACCCAATCCAAAATAGAAAACTGCAGTGGCTTCCGCCATGTGCCAGGTCTCCGGAAGGCTGGACAGCATCGCCAATGTCAGCTTCCTCCCTGAGCATCGATCTCGGCTTTCTTTATGACTCCCTTGTGACCCAGCTATGGTCCCTTGGGGGTCCCCAAAACAGGTGAACCTCCCATTCTTCAGGGGCTGCTTTCCTCTCATCCTCCACCCCATCCTACCCTTCAAACTCAGCCCTTGGGCACCAGAGCCTTCATTGCCCAGTGCAGCCCCACCTCTTTGGCTCAAAATAACCAATTGGAGTTGTGCAGGAAACCACAGTATAAAAATCAGGGGCCCTGGGTCAGCCAAGGGGCAGAGGGCTAAAGAGGCATTCCAGCATTATTGTCTGCTGGGGGCGGGGGCGATTGAGCCTCATTTGTGCAGGGAGCCAGCACACCCACCCTCTACACACAGCACACTGCTACAGCGCACAGCTTGCACGTCCAACAGACACGGACGTGTATACGAGTGAGCAGAAACCCACAGATGCATACGTGTTGGGAGAGACACCTTCACATGTTCACACAAGCTTCCCGAACCGCACACTGCCAATGCACACACCGACCTTCCAGCGGCTGGCAACACGCAGACAAGGGCCCTAGGTATAAGGAAGACTCCCTCCCCCGCCCGTCATTCTGTTACTTGGGAAGTGGGGGCTGTGGGGCTGGAGGTGGGGTGCTTGCCTAAAATCACACCTTTCTCAGACAAATCAAAACAAGTTGCCTTGCCACCAACACCTTCAGCCACGCGGGAGCTTCCCTGGGCACCAGGAAGACGGGGATGCTCCTCCACATAGAATGTAGGGGACTCCAGGATCACGGGCTTTGGATGCTCAGACAGACAGACAGGCAGACAGCCACCGAGACCAGACTGACAGACAACAGAGAAAGAAGTACTCACCAGCCCATCGCAGTTGCTGAGCGCCACCGAGGAGGCTTTAGCTAAGCCCGCCACGTCCCCGACATAGAAGCAGCTCCCAAGCAGGGGCTCCACGCGGGTGGCACCGCTCTCCTCCTGCCATTCCACCGTGGCCCCCGGAGCCACGAGGCGGGCATTGGGTCGCAGCCGTAGGTGCAGGTCTCGACCGAAGACTGTGACATTGTAGAAGACGTGGTGGCGGCCGGGGTCCTCCTCCCCGCTGCCCTCCGGGAAGCCCGAGGTCTGCAGCGGGGCAGCCCTGCGGGCTCGAACCCCAGCACCGGCCGCCGCCAGCGACACCACGTGGGACACCAAGCGGCCCTGGGCGTCAGTGCGCACGGGCACCGCCAGGATGCGCTGGGCTCCGCGCCCCGGCGGCCCGCCTGCCAACGGGGAAAGGGAAAGGGGCGTTAGACTGCCGAGGCCCCCCGGTGACCACCACGCCACGCCTGCATCCCCAGCCCTGGCCTCCGTGGGGAAGGAAGGGCCATTGCACCAGGAACCCCCCCCCCAAAAAAAAAGCTCGCTCACGCCTCCCCGTCTTTCTGGCACAGGGAAAGAGGCGTTGACTGGCCCGCCGCGCGCAGCCACGCCGCCCCGGCCAGCCCCCTCGAGGCCCGCGCCAGCTACGAGTTTCGCCCCCTACGCTGCTCCAGATTAGGGTTCCGCGAGGACCCCCCCCCGCATTTCCCCCAGGGCGCGGGGAATCCATCCATCCACCCACCCCACCCCCGTCGGAGCGTCCCCTTGAGCCTACCACCCTTGCCAGGATGAGGGGCTTCTCCGAAGCCTTTCTTGCTTGGTGCCCTAACCCCCGCGCACCCCGACCCCCCGGCGGCCCCAGCTACCCGGGGAGCCCTCACCACGGGCCTCCGGAGCCACACGGGCGGCCTGTCCTCGGTGTCCGGCTCCCCGCCAGCCTGCCGCCGCCGGAGCACAGGGGAGAGGGGTGAAGCCGGGTCCCGCCGATCCCCAGGGATCCGTGCCGGGGCTCCCCGACCAATCCCCGGGG